TTTCTGATAGGTGCAAACTAACATATTTTGGATTTGGAAATTTTGGAGTAAGTTCTTCAATATCGACAAATGGACTTCTATTAAATAAGAAAAAACATTTTCTAACTTTCAAAGGAAGTGATTCATAAGCGTTAGAAAAAAGGGTATAAAAAATAAATTTTTGTGGTAATTTAACATAACATTTGTTTTTTAGACAATAAGCAAATGCGAATAGAACATTTCTGTCTTGAAACTTATAAAAATGATGACCAATAATAAAGGAATTTTCTGATTTGTTGAATACGGGAATTCCAATACAAGGGGGAACATTTTTGATGGGTAATATCTTATTCAACATAAGTTGATTCTTTTTTGTATTAAAATCATATTTAAGAACTTTCAATTGAACATCAGATTCTGAAAGTAAAGAATCAAAATATATGTCATAGCCAATAACCATCCAACTGATTTTCAATTTACATGCATGTTTTCTAAAATTTTCTTGAATACAATGAATTATAAGTTTTGGTTCATAATCTTGCGGCCATAATATTTGACAATTAAAGAGTTCATTATTTGTTTCTTCATCATCAACAACTGTTGCAAAAATGTTACAATCTGCATCTCTATTTTGAAGGATTTTTGAAATATTTGCATCGCTTTTTAATTTGAAGGTTACTGGTATACCTCTGTCAAACGAACAATCGTAAGTTTCCGTTTTCGAATAAAGAATTTTTTTTCCAAGCAAAACATATATTTCTCGCTGTTTATCACCGGATAAAAAATTAAAGACACTGATAGGATTTCGAAATTCTACACAATCCCAATTATTATAATCTTCTAACGACTTAGCCCAGGCAGTTTCATTGAAATCTTTAAGGCAAACAAGTTTGCCTCCAATGAACTCAACACAATTTGATCTATAATCATTTGAATTTCCTATCATTTTATTGGTATCTCTTGATATTCCAACATCCGCAATATTTGGAACGCCTAAATTCATAGCTTCACTATTTGCTTTTTCTGTAGAAT